AGAGATAATTTAGGGACAGACATTTGGATACAAATTTACACGCAAAAATAAAAGACAAAATAATATGCACAAAAAAAGTGTTAATAGTTAGTGTTATAGATGCTAATTAATATAAACATTTAAGATTTGATGATGTAATAATTAGCTTATAGAGAAATCTTGTCAAAATTCTGTTGATAGTTATAGTTCTTAATAATAGTTATAAAATAAAAGTCTATCATACTTTATATTATAAAATAATTATAACATATCGATAAGATACCAGAAAAATGGGCACACGGCAATAGTGTAGCTAAATTGCCTATCTAATGCGCCGTGTGATAATAATGATTGTGCAACGGTGAATCCAACAAAAAGAAAAATTCTTATCAAAAACATCCACTGAGTTTGGTTATAGAATTTAAAATTGTAAAAAAAAAAATGGTGGACATGCATGTCTACGACCAACGATATAATATAACGTTTAAAAGAGTCAGAGAAGACCTCAAGCTTCTGGGAATTAGAGAGGGAGAACCACTGGCGAAGAACAGAGACTTGTGGAGAGGCGTAGTAGAAGCGGCGATGGACCTTCAAGGCCCGGAATAAGCAAAAACAAAAATCAATAAACTCACAAAAAATATAATTTATGACGTTGAAATTACAATTAATATTATACTTTTAACACGTTCACGACCAAGGGGTAAATTTGAGTGGTCTTTATATAAACCATCTCATAAAATGGCTTTTAATTAATTATGAACTCATAGTATCTCATGGTAACATATTTTATAATATTGTTTATAAAGTATTTTCGGATATTAAGGACATGTCACATATGTGTGACATCAGGTTTTTTCAATGATTATCCTTTACAGAAACCTGATGTCACACATATGAGACATAATTATTTATCTATAGAAAAATCAGTAATCACCATCGCATAATATTATAATAGGTATTTTTTTTGGTGAATAAGTTTTTAGACAAAAAAATTATACGAAAATCATCTCCAATAAATTAACGCAAAAAAAAATGATTCAATAAAATAAAGTCAAAATTATATTTATAAAAAACACCAAAATTAACAAATGTTAAACTTAATAATAAAAACTCAACTTCAATGTATTAACAAAATTTATAAAAAAATTAAACAAATTACTTCTTGTAATAAAAAAATTAAACAAATTACTTCTTGTAATAAAAAAATTAAACAAATTACTTCTTGTAATAACAAAATTAACACATTTTAGGTATGCATAAGTCCATTTGTTATTAAAATCAAAAGTAATAACAACATATTTTTACCAAACAAATTTTAAATATTTATGAAATGTAATAAAAACAAAATTATCACGAACGAACAACCAAAGTTTAACAATATTATAAAGTAAAACAAAATTTCGTTTAAAAATAACAATGAGTTAAAGATTTTAGTTTCAAAGAACTATTATAGTAAAAAAATCTCAAAATAAAAAATAATTACATAACTACTTTTTATAACAAATTAAAAAAAATTTTAGTAACGGCTAATTATAAATGATAAATTTTAAAACAAGGATCAGGACATAAACCGATTGTATTCCCTTTATCATCCTTGCATGTATCACAAACAAAAGCAGTATTTTTTCGCAGTTTATTCTGATGACAAACTCTACATCTTTTTCTAATATTTACTTTCATAAGATTATGCGTTTTTTGTGATGGTTTATTATGAACTACTCGTTGATTGTATGAAATACCAATAAGACAACTTGCAACACATTTTCTAAATTCTAAGTGAGCCATATTTTTAACGTGCTTATTATACAATAGATTTCCATTCCATAAGCACATATCCATGAGGTGAAAAAAAACTTTTATATACCATCGTAAACATTTTCTAGGTGTAGGATAGTAGCTGATCATTTGATCAGCCCTGTCAATACCAGACATATTATTATTGTAATCAACAATAATATTAGGTTTCATTTTTTTCCGTCCAAATCTGTCTGTGAATTCTACAAAGTCCAGTTTCTGTTTGGTAGAAATCATGCACACATCTCTTTTATCATTATACTTAATTACGTGTATATTGCCTTTCTGGACATGAGCTACTTCACCTTTGCCCAATTTAGCATTCAAAGTATCTTTGGGATTATCTTTTCTGTTTTTTCTCAATGTACCAACAACCTTAGTTTGATTTTCAAATAAAAATTGAGCTAAAGGTACACTATTGTAAAAGTTGTCCATATATACTGTATGACCTTTTCCTAAGTATGGCTCCATAAGCTTAGCAACAATTCCAAATGTTACACCTCTACTGTCTTCAACTGTACCTTTGCCTTTATATATCAAAATATCCAATATAAACCCATCTTTTGTACACAGTTCATAAAACTTTATACCATATTTATGAGCTTTGCTTGGTATATATTGACGAAAACTTAGTCTGCCCCTCCATAACAACATAGATTCGTCTAAGGATAAATTTTCGTTCGGATAGTACTTGGTACGAATATTGTTAATTATATGATTTGTTTCCCAATCATCACTTATATTATAATCTTCGCTATCACTAGAACAATTTGAGTCATCACTTACTTCGCGCTCTTCGGTATCACCAGGAAAATATTCATCGGAACTATCGTCATACTCAATAAAACTTTCATCGTCTGAACTGGCGTATAATAATTCATTGATAGCGGCAGGATCCATAGTTTACATATAATTTTTAAAATTATGAATTTATTGTATTATGTTAATTTACATTTAATGTGAAAATAATTAATAATAATTAATAACGTTTGATAACGATTGATTACGATTCGAACATGTGCTAATATAGACAAATATCGAACAATAACAAAATAGGTACAACAACTCCATCTATCGGCCAATTTTTAAACCAACTATATAAATCAATTCCTCAGATAACGTATAATTAAACCACGAAAAAATAATATTTGTTAGGATAAACCGGAGTAAATAACTCCCATTTGAACATCATATTGACCGTGTCACACATATGTGACACCGGTCTCTCAGAACAGACACACATGTCACATATATGTGACACGTGGCCGTGAACGTGTTAATAAACGATCTATTTATGAGTATAATCATGGCTCTGTATTGAATAAAAAAATTTTAAAGGAAACCTAAAGGTCATAGATAAAAGTAAATTACAGCTTAAGTACTATATTTTGAACTTCTTGTAAATTAGTTATAACTTTAAACCTACTAAGTAGGTACTAACCTATAGGGCCTATAGTATAGGCTATACTTATTCTGCGGCGACTAGCTTAGTAGTAGATTCATACCAATATATGACATAAGATTGCAAATATTATCGATTTACCATATTTAAATACCAGTTGTAGGTAGTTATTTTATTTATTATAATATTGTATGTTTATTGTTTGATAAGATAAATGTCATATGACATATCACTATTCATTATTGATTTTTCAATAGGTTGATTACAGACATATGTAAAGTTTGTGATAAAAACAGGAATTTCTTATCGAGGACGACAGAAGGTTGAGGTGAGCAACAATCATCAATATTTATTTTATAAATCGAACTAGGGTGTTCAAGGACTTAAATTTAAAGTTAGTTCAACTTATCCAGTATCTATTTTTATAATTTTATTATTTTTATGACTAGGTATTCCTTATTTCGATGAAATTATATTATTTAATTTTAAAAATCATTTACAGCTTTTATAAACAAAACAACATGCGCTTTATTAGATGAACTAGTTATCATTGGTTTTACATGATTATTTGTCTGGTTTTTTTTTACGACTCCTTACAAACCTCATAATTTTTGTAACATAAAACATGATATGAGACTATTTGTTATTTAACCACAATTTTTATACACAATTCATCAATATTATTATTTTAATAAAAATGTAAAATGTAATTCGTTTCCCTTAATTAGAGAATGTCAACAACTATTTATTTTCACTTTTTAACACATACGCAACTTTGAAAACGTACTTTCAGCAGGATCAACAATGTGTTGTTAGTTTTATTATTAATGTAAATTGACCTATTTTTAAAACTTTTTCTATGGCAGCTCAATGCTCATAGATCTATATTGATATTTTAATTGTAAATTGTTTAGTATAATTATAACTAGGTACCTATATAAGACATAACAATTTTAAAATGTTCATGACTCTATTTAAAATTAATATATCAACAAAAAAGCGGGTTAGTGGATGTTGCTCTGCTGTATAATAGGTTACAAGTGGGTCAATGTATAATGGATTGTATTAAACTTGAATTCAACGATATAATATCATTGTATAAGAAAAACGATTCTGAGCGGAGACGGTTTGTCAGTCTGGATATTTTATATTGTTATTATTTATTATAGCCTGTAAGTTAAATTGAGATTATATTATTATAATTTTTTCTTTGTTTCTATGGTAATAAAAAAACGTTAGAAATAAAAATCCATTTTTAGCGTTTTTTTGTAATTCGTCGGTGGGTTTTCCCATGACATTAAATAATTATTGAGAAAATCGAAAAATGACCTCTCTAAAGTACCATTTCGATCCAATTTTCTAAAGATAAGATATGATGAAGATACTATAGATATGTTGAAATCGAAGCACTTCTACTGGTAGACATTTTGTATACAGGATAAAAAAAAACAAAAAAAAGAAACACGATTGTAAAACCACAAGCTTCCTCGCTCCGCTCAGAATCTAAAAGTCTATGAGGTTAGGCTTGACTATGTTCTTCTATTTAAAGTTGATAATATGTCAATTAATAGTAAAATATTGAAGTTTTCAACACAAAATTGGTTCTGCTTAAGACAAATTTCCTACGTTTCACGTGGACATGAGTCAGAGATAGAAAACAAATAGTATACGTTTGAAATATCCTTATTAGGTTAAATGAATTAAAAATTATACTAATGTCAATATAATATCATAATGTAATAAAGTGAATATAATTCTATGATATAATGACATTAGCTATTGTAAAATATAAAATCTATACTAAACAAATCATAGATTTTATAGATTATAAGAGATAACGTTTATGATCTATTATATTTTGATAAACGCATGCGTTGAAAAAATAACATAATAGTGCTATATTATGTACTGTTTGTGGATTTAATTCACCACTAGAGGCGGAAAAAACTTTTCTTACGTAAATTTTGTGCCAAGCTGGTAATAACGGATCATATTCTCTAGCCAGTGGGTCGGCATAGGAATATTGAGACGGCACATCAAGTTTGACATCAACGAGACAGTATTGGGCCTTAATAGGTTTAGCTACCTGCAGGCACTCGTCAAAGTCTCCTAACTGGAATCTGTTTCCCGACAACAGACCCACTGCTTGTTTCGCTGATGCATCCCACACTAGAACATAATATAATAATAGTGTGATTAGATTTTTAGGGATTCTATATAATCAGTGAACGGAAACCCTATTATACGTCCATCATAATTTTCATTTGTCCATTTTGATAATCTGTTGCTATAGTAACTTATTATCATGATAGTATGTTTTAAATTATTTTTATTTAGATTTGTTTTATTATTTAATACTTCCAGGTAAATGTATAAAATGATTTATAATCTGACATTTTTCATTGGTTTATGATGTATTATATAATAATTTATGATTTATATAGGTACATCTGAATCTAACGCTGAATTCGATAGTCTTTTAAAAATTGTCCGCTTGTACTTCTGAACTCCTAACAAAAAACCAATAAAACAAATTTTTTCCTAAGACCAATAAAACTTTATTCATAATATAACATTTTGATAAATCATATAAAATAAATATTTTTCAAGACCCAAATTTTATATATAAAATAATTACCTGTATTATAAAATAATGATTTAAAAAAATGTATTTAAACCCAGAAAATTTACACCCTTGAAAAGTGGTATTTTAATATTATTACAAAATGCATGCATACATGAATTATTTGAAGTTTCAGAAATGGATCTGGTCAAAAATCGAAACATATATTTTCTTGTTTATTTTATTAATACATACTTAATTTTAGCTTAATTAGATAAAATCTAATTATAATTAAACACTGGGAGTATATAATTACATTAATTTAACATTTCAATGTGTTTAAAGAGTGAATAGTCAATATGGTTTAACGTGAAGAATTTCTAGTAAAAATATTCAACGGCCGTTTAATTGTATTTAAAGCTTCAAAAGTTCAAACTAATATATTAATATAGTTATTAATATTTATTGAATTGACGGCATGATGATCACCGTGTAATGTCGTCTCCACTTACTATTATACTAATGCATAACACAGCAGATTTTAAGTTTAAAATAATCCAATTTAAAGTGTTATTATTAATATTAGAGTAAATTAATATATTACATTATTAAATGTACAGGTAAAAAAATTATGCAGTGCTCAACGTAGACATTTTACGTTATTTTAATTTAGAAGCAAGTAATGAGCATTTTAAAAATTGCTATGTTATGCGTTTCGGTGGTTGTATGACGGTAACAAGACATACGGGTACGATGTCCTCTTAACGAGGTTGAGTAAATATCAAATAGTAAATAATCTGTGTGTGGTCGTGTAAATATTAATTATATATAATATTGTGCAATATTATAAGTAGGTACGTATAATAATAAACAAATTCCTATCGGCTAAAAAATATATGGCTCGTGAACTGGGTCCTTCCTATACATTATAAAAAGAAAGCACTCATATAAACTGAGAGCACGTACATATAGTACCATTATTATTATTATTAGGGCTATACTGGCTATAGGATTTATATTTATTAGCATTTAGCATAGGTATTTTATATCCTCTAATCCAAATACATTGATTGGCAGTTATGTCCGGGACTAGGTCATACTAAATTAAAAAGAACCGTTTTTATTTTAAAAATTTAGAGTTTATTTGATTAAGAATGATGAAAGAAATAGTATTTATCTAATCTAATTTATTTGTAATTATTGTTTATTTGTCTTAAATATACTAGGCACTTATATTTAATAAGCTGTCGTGGTTGGTTATTATATTATACACCAAATGTATATTGAATAAAATATAATAATTAAGATTTAATCTTATCAAGCTTGTGGACATGTGTTTGCCGCGTAAAATATAACACACAAGACACAGCATTGTAAACGTGTCACAATACATTTTTGAAGCAGCGAATAGGCGTGACATTCAGTACAATATATTTTAAATAAACAATTTTGAGGAATACTTAAAGTTCAAAGTAAAGGTGTTAAGTATGATAATTTGTTGAAGAACTTTCTAACGAAATTTTCAAAAATAACTGTCAAATATTTAATTATATTTGTGATAAATTTGTATATAACAACCATTTAATGTTTGATTTAATTTAAAATGTATTTTTATTTACATGTTTTTAAAAATGAAATCCGTATTTTACCATTTTTTATTGTACCTTTATAAATCCTAGCCCTAATTTTGCAGATCATGTTAAATGATACATTAAAAACTATTTTGAAATATTCAAATTATTCTAAATATTGTTTTACAATGATGATATTTGTTCACAAGAAGGAAAATTAAAAATAATTTAAAATTGAATTATTTCAACAACAAAAATACATTTTATCCCATTTATAAAAAAAACCAAATGTAAAAATATGTTTTTCACAGATGCATTAGAGAACACTGTGTCAATAACAATAACATTTATTTTTTTTACAATAATAATTAGGGATATGATTTATATGGCTTATATTAAGAAATGGTAAAAATATGCAAAAGTAGAATATAAAAATAAAATCAATTTTATATTCAATAAAACATTCAATAATTATTAAATTCAAATTGATCGCAAATAATAAATAATTAAGTATTACACTATCAGTTTTGAAAATTTCGTTTGAAAATTCTTCAAAAAATTGTAGTATTAACACCGCCGCTTTGACTGTTAGGTTTTCCTCAAAATTGTTTGTGTAAATATTGCACTAAAATATGCCACACCTAATCATTGCTTCAAGAAAAGTATTGTGCTGACACGTTCAAGGCGTGTTATATTTTACTAGGAACGCGACAAATCCGAATTTAACTAATATTATGAAAAAAGACTAACATAAATAGTTATTTAAAAAAGGAGTGGACTAAAATAACAAGAATTTTCTGTAGAGGGGTGTTTACAAATACCTAATAACATTGGCGTAGTGCGTCACCATTTAACAGCATAATATTTAATTCAATAGACCTGATGTCGGCTATATCCAACATATACACACTGTTTATATGCCTACACGTTGTCTATATAGCCTACAGATGCACTGCAAAAAAATTCGGTTTGTCTGCTATAACCGATAGTCACAGCAAACGTGTCAGGATAAAATCTTATTTTTTGTTCGATATAATTATCTATACAACTAACTATGACAGTTTATAAATAGTATATTTAAGACAGATAAAACAATAATTACCTACAGATTTTCTTTAGATAAATAGGTACGTTTTCATACAAAAGTTTTTTTTAAATAAATATTCAAAAACTCTAAATTATATTAGATATGCAAAATAAAAATTTTTCTTTTTAATTCAGTCTGAACCTAACCGTAGACATAACTTTACTGACAACCTATGTGGCTATGTATTTGGATAAAAGGAAAACATATGTTAATGCATAAGAAGTCCTAGCCATAAAATCATAATAATATCATAGACTTTAAACAGGTTAGCTAAAACTTAAATTAAACTTTGAAAAAATAACTCCAACATTTGATGTGCTTCTCAAGTAAGTACGTCCCAGGAGTATTTCATATGTTGTATAACTAGTAATATTAAATACATTTATAAACAATAAAAAGTCATCACTTTCGAAAATCGATTCTGACAAAACTTGGTTGAATAACGTTTTCTTAAATTTCCATAACACATCAGCTCTTTTAAGTTTTTGTTTATGTTTAAAAATAAACTAAAATGATAAAATCGAAAAACAAAGTGTAAAATAAATTAGATTTTCTACCGAAACAAAAGGGATAGGTATTTTAAAGTTTCAAAACACTCCATCCGATCAAAATAATGTACACATAAAATATTTAAATAATTCATAAAACTATTCACTACAATTCTCGTTCTTCTCTTAATAAAAAGTGTAGGTGGAATTTTAATAATAATTTTAAAGCATGTAGAGCGCTTAACAAAATTATGTTATTCAATTGCATTAATAAAAATTAGCAGAACGACGCACTGTAATAAAAACTACAACTCGATTTATCCACACTTTTAATTGATTTGAAAAAAGTATTTTTAACAATAAAAACTTAAGACATACAAGTTTGTTGAGCAAATAATATTCTATGGAAACATTACAAATGTTATAATATTATAATGTTATAATATTATTACTTTATTATAATATTTAATCCGTTACCTATTGCATTTTAAGCATTTTACGGAGTTGCCGTTTTATTATTGAAAAAAATTAAAACACAATAACGGACAACGGTACAGTATTAACACAGTAATACGACGTGTTATTTTACACGATGGTTAACCATTATACCTGTTTTAAGAATGCGGCTTCTAACGACATGTTAACATACCTAAAACACTGTCTTTATAAAATGTCATTACAACATCTCCAAATAAATGTATTAGACTATTAACAATAATAGAAGTTACACACAAGAACACACATTCATTAAAAGACTTCAAGACATTGATAAATTAATGTATTTAACCAACCAAATCCGTCTAGAAAATTGTACGATAATATTGTATGATAGCCCGTTATTAGCTAGGTATCTACCTATAATGTATGTATTTTAACCGGATTACGCCGTTGGCATGAAAACAGAAAGTCCGTGAGTATCGAAACGATAGTGGAATTTCAACTCGTTTCTCGACCAAGTTGGCCAGTTGTTTGATAACTGTTTATTTCGTTGGATGTATTATATTTAGCCATTAAGGCATCTGTACATTTACGTTCGCTTTCAAGTCGGTAACCGTACGTATATTAATTACAGTTTAATTAGTAGAGCGGGCAGTGGTCATACAATGGTTTTAACAACACATACGTTAAAATGACATCTGGTTTGGTTTGGAATAGTTGGACCAACGTATTGGCAAAGATGGGCAACTTAATGAAAATAATTAACTCAAGTTAAGACAAGTTAAGAGGACACAAGATCGATAAGTTAAAAGTTAACAGTTAGCAAATTATAAATTTAACTCGATAAGTTAAAAGTTAATATAGAAAAAAATGTTAACTTAACTCAGTTTAAAAAAATTTAATCTATTTATTTTTTTAATTAGTATGTTAATCACATAAAAAGTGAATGTGTCTTTCTAGTTTCTATTTTATAAATGATAAAAAAAACAATTTATTAAACTTTTATCATAATGTACACTGTA